TTGAGAAGAAAGGATGCTAACTAAAAACATGAAATCATATGAAAAGTATAAAACTTACTGGTAAAGGTAACTATATAGTCAAATTCAGAATACTCTAATATTGTAATAGTGGTATATAAATCACTTATAACTTTAGTGTAAAGGTTAAATGATAAAAGTATTAAAAATAACTATAACTAAAATAATTTGTTAATGGATACACAATATAAAAAGATGTAAATTGTGATACCAAAAAGATAAATTGGGAGTGGGGAGTAAAAGTGTTGAGCTTTTGTATGCAAATGGAGTTAAGTTATTATCCACTTAAAATAGACTGTTATAAATATAAGATGTTCTATGTAAGCCTCATGGTACCAAAAAGCAAAAACTTATAGTAGATACAGAAAGAGATAAATAGAAGGGAAACAAAGCATATTATGGTAGAAAATCATTAAATCATGAAGGAAGAAAGCAAGAGAAGAACAAAGGAACACAAGATCCACAAAACTCCCAGGAAGCAGTTAACAAAATGCCAATAGTAAGTCCTTACCTATCAATGATGACTTTAAATATAAACGGACTAAATTATTCAATCAAAAGACATAGAGTAGTTAAATGGATTGAAAAGAAGACAAGACTCAGCTATATGCTGCCTACAAGAGACTCACTTCAGCTAAGGACAATAGGCTTAAAGTAAAAGGAGTGAAAAAGATAGTCCATGCAAATGGAAATCAAAAGAGAATAGCAATAGCTATACTTATACCAGACAAAATGGAATTTAAGTCAAAAAAGTACTAAGAGACAAAGGTTATTATACAATGATAAAGGAGTCAATTCATCAAGAGGAAATAATAGTAAATATATATGCACCCAACATTAGAGCACTTAAATATGTAAAGCAATTATTAACAGATCTAGAGAGAGAAATAGCAATATGATAATAGTAGAGGACTTCAATACCCCGACTTTCAACATGGGATAGATCATCCAGACAGAAAATCAATAAGAAAATCTTGAACCTGAACTACATTTTAGACCAAATGGACCTAACAGACATATACAGGAACAGAATAAGCATTCTTCTCAGGGGTTCATGGAACATTCTCTAGGAGAGATCATGTTGGGCCACAAAACAAGTATTTGTGGCCCCCAAATTAACATTTTTAAGAAGACTGAAATCATACCAAGTATCTTTTCTGACCACAATGGTATGTGACTAGAAATCAACAACAGGAGGAAATCTGGAATATTCACAAATATGTGAAGATTGAACAACATGCTCCTGAACAACCAATGGGTCAAAGAAGAAATCAAAAGGGAATTCAGAAAATATCTTGAAACAAATGAAAATGGAAACACAAGATACCAAAACTTATGAGACGCAGCAAAAGCAGTGCTGAGAGGGAAGTTCATAGTGATAAATGCCTACGTTAAGAAAAAATAAATACCTCAAATAAACAACTTAACTTTACACCTCAAGCAACTAGAAAAACAAGAACAATCTAAGCCCAAAGTTAGTGGAAGGAAGGAAATAACAAAAATCAGAGAAGAAATAAATGAAATAGAGTCTAGAAAGACAATAGAAAAGATCAATGAAACTAACAGTTGGTTTTTTGAAAAGATAAACAAAATTGACAAACGTTTAGGTAGGCTAAGGAAAAAAGAGAGCAGACTGCATGTAATGGCTCATTGTTGGCTTAATTACTCTTAACTAATCATGTATGCTATTCTTATTTTAGAAAACAGCCCGGGTTCAAATCTGGGATCCACCACTTACTAGCTATGAATATTAGGCTAGTTATTTAACCTCCATGGGCCTCAGTTTCTGTCCAGAGCTCAGCTGAGCTGGAGACAGCTGAGATGCCAGGTATCAGAGTAGCTGATTAAGACAAGTCAAAATAAAAGTAGCATTCAAGCATTTACTCACTTACTGTGATAGTGTAAGCAAGAGTCTGAACTGGATAAAGCGCTGGCTCCCACTGTTCCATTTTCCACCATGGAAGGGTACATTGGTTGAGGGTCAAGTGAATCGGCACAGACTTGGGGGTCATCTCCCTGCTGAGGGAGCCTCAAACAAGAGGCTCCCGCAGTTTTATGGGCCTAGGGGCCAGGGGGAGGGAGAGGGGAAGAACTAGGAGTAGAAAAGGACTGACTCATAGTGGAGAAAAGTGTCTTCAAGGCCTTCGTCTTCTAGGCTCTGATAAAGAGGTTTCCATGGAGGCACCTGAGGAAGGCTCCGGATAAGGAGGCCTCTGAAGGAAGGCATCTGGGCTAGGGATGCAGACATGAGTTAAAAGCTTGGCTGACCAGGAGAACCTGAGTCCTAGGCTGCAACTCCCTTTAGAGTTGCGATGGATTGGTTGTGCACTGTCTGGTGTAGGGAGGCAGCTTTCCTTTCCCTGGTGAGGCCTGCTAGGTAAAGCCTTTGTAATTGCCTATTGGTTAAGCCTGAAAAATCACACATAGGTTTTGGCCAGAAGCTGGACTTCTCAGTTTCAACTGTAAAATGGGGATCGTAAATGACATAATGCATATAGAATGTTTAGGAAAACACCTGGCACATAAGCTCCCAATAAGTGTCTGTATTATTATTTTAATGTTATTATTGTTATTATTAATATTACCCCTGAGTTAAAACTCCTTACTTGTTGTGATATTGTGATATATAATAAGAAATATATATATATATATTTGGTCTTCATTGTAATTTCGGCACAGAGTTCCTAAATCCTTTGGAATTTCTTATGATGAGCGTGATAAAGGTGTCTTCTGTTATGTTAATGAGGTGACATTTGGAAAGCACCTAAGGATGGGGGCTGGTTGCCAGCAGAGCTGACCATGTGATTAGAGGGTTGGAACTTCCTCTCCGTAGGAGGGAGGGGTTGGAGATTGAGTTCAATAACCAGTGGCCAATGATTTAATGAATCATGCCTATGCAATGAAGCCTCCATAAAAATCCAAAAGGACTGGGTTTGGAGAGCTTCTGGGCTGGTGGACACGTGGAGATTTGGGGAGAGTGGCACGCCTGGAGAGCACATGGAAGCTCTGCGCTCCTTCCCACATACTTTGCCCTATGTATCTCCTCCGTCTGGCTGTTCCTGAGTTATATCGTTTTATAATATTATAAATCAGTAATCTAGTGAGTAAATGGGTTTCCTGAGTTCTGTGAGCTGCTCTAGCAAATTAATTGAACCCAAGGAAGGGGTCATGGGAACCTCTGATTTATAGCCAGTTGGTCAGAAGTACCGGTAACAGCCTGGGCTTGTGACTGGCGTCTGAAGTGGGTGGGGGGCAGTCTTGTAGGATTGAACCCTTAACTTGTGGGATCTGACACTATCTCTAGGTAGGTAGGCGTCAGAATTGAGTTGAAGTGTAGGACGCTCAGGTGGTGTCTAGAGAATTGCTTGTTGGAGGTATGAGGAAACCCCTACCTCCCCACGTTGAATTTGCATCCAGGAACCAAAAAGACTTGTAATTGCTTACTTGCAAGCAATTCCTATAAATAAATGCAATTAAGATTCTGATATCTGGCCCTCATTTGCTACTGGTGAAAATAAAATAGGTAAAACTTTTCTACAAAGCCGTTTTGCAATATATATCAAGGACCTTAAATACTCAAACTGAGCATGAGCACTGCTAGAAATTTATTCTGAGGAAGCAGTCCGTATGTGGAAAAAGATATATGCTCAGAAATGATCATTGCACTATTTCAAACAATAAAAAATGAAATGTCTAACGAGAGGAAAAATGGTTTTAGAATTTATTTCATTCACATGATGTAATATTCTGCAACTCTTAAAAATCATGTTCACATATACACAAGCAATTTACTGAGATATTTTTCACTGATCAGATTGGCACAAATCCAAATGTTCTTTCACAATGCCTTCTGCCTTCAAGGACATGGAGAAACTGGCACTTTTTATACTTTACAAGTGGGAGAGCAAATAGATATAGCTCCTAACCAGGCAATTTGGCAATACCTGAACAAAATCACAAATGCATATGCCCTTTGACAAAGAAATCCTACTTCTAGGAATTTATCATAAAATATTTTTGCAAACATGTATGTATGTGTATACACACATACAAAGTTGTTTACTTTGCCATTGTAACGTCAGAAAAATGAAAACTGAATGCAATTGGTTAAATAAATTGTATACATCCATTCAATGGTATTCTATGCACCTGTAAAAATGGAGGATGCTCACTATGCAGTGATATGGAAAGATCTCAACATATATTGGTCAATCAGTAAAGTACAGAACAGTGTATGGTAAATTACATTTTGTGTTAGAAAGTGAGAAAATGTGAGTATATTTTCCTATGTGCTTGCGTTTGTTTATATATAGAGAGACGCATAAGAAACAGTAGTAGGCTAAATAACAGCCCCTAAAGATATATCCACTTCCTAATCTCTGGAACCTGTGACTATTATCTTATATGGCAAAAGATATGATTAAGTTAAGGAGATTATCGTGGATTATGCAGGTGGGCTCTAAATGTCATCACAAGTATCCTTATAAGTGAGAGGCAGAGAGTGATTACACACACACAAGAGAAGAAGGCAATATGACCATGAGGGCAGAGAATGGAATGATGCAGCCACAAGTCAAGGGATGCCAGCAGCCACCAGAAGCCAGAAGAGGCAAGGAACAGAATCTCCCTAGAGACTCTGGAGTGAGCGTAGCCCTGCCCACACCTTGATTTCCTCTCACTGACACAGACTTCAGACTTCTGGCCTCCAGAAGTTTGAGGGAATAAACTTTTGTTTTAAGCCACCAAATTTGCAGTAATTTGTTACAGTAGCCACGAGAAACTAATTCAGAAACTAATAAAAGTAATGACCTCTTAGGGAGAATTAGGTGACTGAAATATAGAGGTGGAAGCAAGATTTTTCACTGCTGATCTTTTTATAGTGTTTATTTTTTTTGAACAAGATGAATATATTTGCGTTTTAAAATGTAAACTGTCAAAAAATTAATCTCTCATTCAATTCAAAACTTTCTCCCTCTTCTCAGCTCAAACCTGGCCCCCACTTCTGCAGACCAGCAGTGAAGAAGGGGACTAGCCTGTATTCTGGACCTCGACTCACTCTGCTGTCCTGGCTGGCTCCTGATATAGAGACTAGAGGCAAAGAGCAAGCCCTTTGGATTGGCTCTGGCACAGTCTAACTGTTGGTACCTCTGTCACGGCAGCAGGTGCCCAACTGTAGGCTCTTTATCTCATGGCTTGTTTGTATGAGGTTTTGGGAGACCCTCCTGGAGGCCTTGGCATTGCCACATTCCATAACCAAGGTGAGAAATGACTTCTTATGACTTCCCTTTAACTCCTACGCTTTGAATCTCAGAAAGCAGGTATGGAGTTCCAGTATCTTTTCCCACACTGAACAATGCGTGCCCTCTCCTCTTATATATACACAACCAAAGGAGTTCAGTGGATGTTACAGAACAATGAAGATCAGTTTCAAGGACACCACAACTTGCCATGAGCACTCCATTTCAGTATCCGCCTTAACAGGCAATCTATGACACAAGAAATCACAAAGTTCTGCCATTTTGAGTGCCAAAATATTTCTCAGTTCCACTCATGTGCCTTGCCACTACCTTGCTCAGGCCATATCTTTCACCTGATTTGTGTTTGGAAAGAGTACTCTGGCTACATTTGGAGAGTGGATTGGAGCAGAGCAATACAAAGCAGGCAGTGTTAGGAAGCTGCCACAAAAGTCCATTAATTTTTGTATATTGAGTACATATTGAAATAATAACATTTTGGATATATTTAGTTAGATAAAATATATTTTTAAAATGAATTTAGTCTGTCACTTCTTGTTTTTTTTAACGGGGCTACTAGAAAATTTTAAATTATATGTGTAGCATGCATTATATTTCTATCAGACGGTGCTGTTCTAGAACAATTGGGCCATTTTCTTTATCCTCTCTTTTCTTCAACTTAGATTTTCCAGGACAGGCTAAATTTTTAATATTTGCTGTAACCACTCCCCATCTTCATAAATAACTCATACTTGTTAGATAACCTGTTCAAATGAGTGCTTTAGAAAATGTGATCCAGGCTTCCATCCCCTTCTAGTGTTTTCTAATGTTGTTCTTCACATCTAGAACATCTTTGTTTTCTTTTCCAAAGTCTATATATCCTCTGAGTCCAACTCAGGTGACCTGTCCCACCCCACCCCTGTGCTGTCCTTGACCACTTGCCATGGGTTGATGTTTCCTATCTCTTGATTCCCAGAGCAACCAAAGTTAGTTTCCACACAGTCAGACTCATTGCCACCCTCCACACTGCTTTGCATTGTTCTGACTTCTTACATGTAAATCTTCCCTTCTTTTCTAGAAAGTTTAGTCACTTGAGTGCTTTCTCCTTCCTTTGACACACCTGCCAGATCTAAACAACTATTTTTCTTTAAGCAACACAAAGGCTTAATGAGCACCAGTAGATTAATATCTCAGTACAGGAGAATTCCATATTAAGTGTACCCTTATTGAGTTGCCAAATATTAATTTGATAATTTTAATTAAATATATTTATGTTTTTGAAGATGTGCTGTAGTAGAAAAAGAACTTGCCAGGGAGTCAGCAAACTAAGGCTTTAGTTCCAACTCTGCCCGTCCAGCCACCTGACCTTGGACAGGTGCTCTTCACCTTTCTGGGACTGACTTTCTTCATCTTGAAAACAGATTAGGTAATCTCTAAGGTATATTTCAAATCACATATTTTATAAATCTGTGACGGAAATCTTTCTCAAATGCCTTACACACTACTCTGAATTTTTAAAAATAGAATGTGCTGAACAGAAATTGGCAATTTTAAAATGTCAGAGTCATTATTAGGGATGTCAATTATTATGCACTGACAGTGTAATGCAGCTAAGGGGTTATTGTGATGTGTATGGCTGCTTACTCTCCAGAGCATGTGGTTTTTATTTTTAAATTAATGTCTGCCCTTTAATTTCTTCTTTTAATGTCAGACTTTCACCTGTCACTTATTGCTGATGCCAGTCCTGCCTGTATTAATACCTTCGCTGTCCTCATCCCACCTAATTTGGGACTTCTAACCTAAGGTGATGTGGGGAAACCCTGTAATGATAAGCTTATTTGACTTATGTCTGAAGTTGGTCATTTGGTCCTTCATCAACCATTTATTGGGTGCCTGTACCTGTGTCTGAGGCACAAGACGGTGCAGGGGCTGAAGAAAAAAGAATTTATAACCTTGGGGGACTTCACAGTGAGAAAAGTATTTGCGCTTTAGTGCAGGGCTTCTGCAGGCCTTTTTCTTCACTTCTCAGTTTCCAGCCTCTTTCCTGATTGCTGAGTTTCCCAGACAAGTCACTTGTAGATAATAGAGGGCTTAATAATAACAATGATTAATCAACACAGTGAGGAACTCTCACAGGAATATGCAGAGACAAGTATAACAGAACAGAAAGTCTAGAAATAGTCTCCATGTGTATATACGAACTGGATGTATATAGAAGTAGTTTCCAAGAACAGAGAGAAAAGGATGGGTTATTTAGTGTCATTTAATTCTTACAATGAACTTGTGAGCCAGGTAACATTATTCTTCCTATTTTATAGATAAGGTAATGAGAGGTTCAAAGACTTGCCCAAAGTCTCAGTGGTGGGTCTAGGACAAAGTGTATTATCTTTGGTGTATTTCTACCTGTCCTCAATATTGGGTCATTTCATGTGTTAGATGATCTGAACCCTTCCTAGTGGTCAAAAGCAGCAAGTAGGAAAGTGGTTCTCAACCAGGAATAATTTTAGCCCCCCAGGGACAATTAACAATATCTGGAGACATTTTTGGTTGTCACAACTGGACTGGATGGTGGGAGGGATGCTGTTGGCATCTAGTGGGTAGAGACCAGAGATGCAGCTTTATATCCTGCAACACAAGACAGTCCCCAAGGATGATCTGGCCCAAAATGTCAATAATGCTGAGTTTGAAAATCCTGACGATAGATACAAGAGAGCTCTTAGTTCTTCACTAGTAATGTGGATTGGATTAAAATAAATAACGTATTTGAAGCCTATTTTTTATTTCTCTTTTTTTCTTGGTCACACCATACTGAAGCAAGGAACAACTGGGAGGAAGGTGGGAAAAAGCTTCTGATGCTTGAAAATACCTGGAAACGTTTGCATTTTATATTTGCTATAGGAATACAAGTAAAATCTAAAGATCTGCTACGTAACTGTAGTAGACATTACTAATATTTGCCACCAAGATTTCTGATCTTCCTTTTGTTCCGGGAGTGGGGGGCACATGCCCTCTTGAAGTTAGGTGTAGTTATGTGACTGAAATGTGAGTTACAGATGGAAGCCAGTTCATGATTTTCCATGCTCTCTTTCTAGACCACCACAACCATGGGAGTGTATGTTGGTATGGAGAAACCATAAAATCTAAGTGGCATGGAAAACTGCACCAGTACATGGAGAAAAGCAATCCTGCCCAGTCTCCCAGATCTGCCAAAGACTTTGTATGAGTAAGAAATAATCTTTTGTTGTGCCACACCACTGAGAATTTTGAAATTGTTACTGTAGCATATTCTAACTTATCCTGACTAATACATCCAAGTTAATTAGCAAGTACGCTGGAATTCTTGAACCCCCAAATTTCTGGGGTGTTGCTTCTGCCTTAGGAATCAGGATGTATTAATATTTCGCATACCTGTTCATTCACACTGCTTTCTCAAATTCTTATTAGCATGAGGTCCTAGAGAGTTTTATAAAACTCCAGTGACTCTGCAGTAAGCACCAAATGTTCTCACATATGGTTGTTGGGGCTGTGTGTGAAGGAATTTTTAAGCTTTGGAAATACATTTTATGTCTGAAATGATTTCTGTTGGTACTAAAATATGTCCTGAATTGTGACATGCCAGGCTGCATGACTTTTACCTACTTATTATGCAAATTCTATTTTGTAATATATAATAGAAATTTTATTTAGTTTCTTGAATTTCTAGATTAGAAATGGTGAAAATTGTAGGATAATCGTAATCAATCTCTCTCTTCTCTTCCACACACTTCATTCTCTCTTTCTCCATAATTGGAATCAAAACCATGTCATTATTTCTCTGACCTGTTGGAAACAATATACCTTTTTTTGTAAGTTAAGGGTCCAGAAACTGAAGACCAATCTTTTCTTTTTGAGTTATCATCGGTACTCTTGTAACGTTACTTTATGTCTACCACCCAATGTGATTTTTACCATCCCTCTCTATAAGTATATCTATTTTAATTTATATCTAACATGTTTATTACTGCATTTATTTACCTACCCAAAAGTATTTATTTACTTCATAGCAATTCTATAACTTTATTTTATGAGCTATAACTGTAACCCAAGAGTCAGCTGCTTGGAAATCCCCAGTTCTTTCCGCCTTATGGGAACTGCGTCTCCTTTCTCTCTGATGTCAAGTAAACTGCCCTGAGACACAATCCCTTAGGTGATAGAAAATCTAACATGCTGACCAAACTGCCTAGGCAGTTCTGTGCATCTGACTTTCTTGTGGTCAGTCCACACTGCGGCCTGTTTCCCTGTCACCTCCTGGACCCTGGTGGCTGTTGTCTTCTCTCCACACGAGCTGTGCTCTTTCCATGACTACATCACCTCTGGCTTGGAGCACTGCTCTGCACTAGCACACAGTGCCATTGGGACAGATTTTTATGGAAGGTTTAGGGGAAATAGAGGGGGATCACGACTCAGAATAGTCAAGACAAGCCATATAAAATTGAATCACTGGCACTCCAGTTCTCAAGAACCCCTTGGCCATCCTCATTACTAGGAATTGCTCAGTGGACATCTTCTCAGACCACAGCATGTCACCATGATGCTGGCTCTCTTTCATCTTCACACTCTGCTCATATATCCCCTTCCCTCCTTTCTCAGAGCCCTTACCACTCCCTCTCTAACAAACTCTCCTCACCGCACTCCTTTGAAACCCGAAATTCCCCTTACTCTAGTATGTACTACAGTTTGACTTTCCCAATCTTTAGCTCAACCCTGTCCTGCTTTTTCATTTTATAAACTTCAACCAGAAATTCTGCCAAACAAATTCCATCTACTCTGGGTAGACATCCTTTAGAAACATGCTTTCAGGTTAGTGTTTTCCTTAATCTATCACATTGTTAGGAATGGGAGTTCCTAATTTCTAGAACAAGGAAGAAGCAATATAAAGTATCAAGGCATTTGAGAAGCATAAGAAGGAGTAGACAACTTTGTGGGTAGGAGGAGTAGCATGTGAAAGTATAGGAGAGTTGTTGAGTTGCAGTCAACAGGATCAGAGTGGTCAGAATGGGCCATGTAATGGAGGCTCTTGGGAAGTATCACGTGGGCAGAAGGAAGCTACTGAAAGATGTAAAGGAGCAGAATGTCACGCTCAAAACTACGTTTTAGAAAGACCACTCTGGTTTCAGCCAGAGTGGAGTCAGAGAGAAAGTTATAAGACTTTTACTCCAAGAGGAGATTTAAAATGCCTGGGCTGAGGCAGGGCAAGGGTAATGGAGCAAAATGGATTTGAGAGCTGTTAAGAAGGTGGGATTGAAGGGGCTTGGCAGATGGATGAGCAGATGAGTCAGTGAGAGGATGAACCTGGCTTGAGCAGTTGAAGGAGCAATGGTGCACTCTCTGAGATAAGGGAACAAGGAAAGAGGATCATTTTGTAGTGGAGGTAGAGGAAACCATGGATTCAGTTATACCCATGCTTAGTTTGAGGTATCAATGATGCCCCCTTGAAGCTGTCAAGTAGGCAGCTGTAGACCCACAGACACCAGCACCAACAGATTTAGCATGCTTGGTTTTGAATGTTCTTGAGGATCTTGACATCACTAAAGCACAAACGTAAATTAAGAGATGAAAAATTGGTGTTTAAGAGTGAATCATGTAGCCTATGAGTGAGACTCACACATCTACTTTTTTGGGAATCAGGATAATTCAGGAAGGGTGGGGGCTCAGAGACACAAGGGAGAAGTCTCTAGTAGGATGAGAAGGAGGAGATGATAAGTACAATTTAAGCATGTGGAGTTTGAGTGGGCAGAGTGACATATAAAAGCCACTAAAAAGTCAGGACTGGAACTGTAGATTAGGGAAACATAAATCTACTCCATTTTGCCAAACCTCAGCCTTTGATTTCTTAGTTCTGTTAAATGGGGTGGAGCTGAGAAGCAGCCCTAACGTTTTGAGTTTGCTCTACTTTCTACAAGGTACCCTGTCAAAATTGGCAGAGGCAGGTAGCTCTTTAACAATCTGCAAAGAGATTGAGATGAGTAATGAATTTGGAAAAGAGGATGAAATCTAACTGACATCAGCAGAATTATATCTTTATATCTACATGATGTGGATGAAAAACAAGCATGGGTATTTGAAGCCAGAAATGTGCTAAATTTTCACCTCTGACTCTTTAATTTTTCTTATTTTAATTTTACTGATGTCTACACAATGCGCCCCCCTCCAAAAAAAACTTGGCAGGAGTTTCTTCTCCTCCTTAACACTCCTTCACCTCTCCTGCCCCCACCCGATGTACACACACCTGAAGAGTTATTACTAGGTAATCTAACTCAGAAAGACATTTCAAAATGTAATTTCTTCATTAGTGAAGAAACACGTGGTGATCATTTTAAAATATTGAGTGACGAAAGGAATTCCTGAAGTCTTTAAGACATAGATTAAACTGGAGTCTTGTCCTGCAATAATATTTGCTGGCGCCAAGTTTATTGCTGAAATCCAAGAAACATCTCTGCTTCACCCCAGCACCATACATGCCTGCAGCTAATTGACAGACAGGCCTTGAAATCCTTGGGTGATCTGCACACCTTGTCCCTCGGAATAAAAGTCACTCCCTTTAGGAGAGCTTCAGCCTGAATGGTTCATAACCAAATCCTTTTGGTTTATACCAAACAGTAGGTTTCTTGGAGTCAGAGACAAATTTGTGAGATCAGGACAGGGCATGACCTGACTGACTCTTTTCCACCAGTGCAAACATCTTGGTTCTCAAAATGAAGAATGGTTGCCGTATACTGGAATGAAGAGAATTTATTCAAGTCTCAGCAGTACCTAGATCTGAAGACACCAGCATTGGTGCCCTACTTTTTCCAGAATTTCTTGTATTTGGTACATGCTGAGTCTTTCTTCTTCTGAATATTTTCCAAGGACCATGGTAGAAACCACTGCCTAGTAAAGGAAAGGGTTGATTGGCTGAAGGCCTGTACATTTCTTGGGTTGTTTGATTGTCCTTCAGCTTAGAAAACAAAAGAAAGAGAGTACCAGACCCGATTATCTAACATCCTAATTCACCCGGATGTCCTACAGGCACGTTAATTCAGTTTCACCCAAACTGAACTAATTCTCTCCCACAGAGTTGCTTCTGCTCCCACATTCCTGTCCTAATTGATAGTACCACCACCCACGTAGACACCCAATTGAGAAGGATGGGAGTTATCTAAGACATCTCCTGCTTCTTCACTAGTCTCCAGATTTTCTTGATTCTATCTCTTCAATGTCTTGTTTCCATTCTCTCCTCTGCTTTCCCACCACTTTAATTAAAGTCCCCACCATGTCTTACCTGGTCTATGGTAATAGTGTTCTTTCGAACTTTCCTGCCTCCAAATAGCTTACCATCCCTGATCTCAGCAAGTGGCCTTGTCTTCCTTACAAAATGACCCTTCTGTGTTGCAAATCTGATTTTTTGTTTTTACAGCTTAAGACTGCTCATTGATTTTCCATGACTACAGGATGATGCCCAAACTCTTTAGTGTAACCTCCAAGGGTTTCCCTCTATGACCTGATCTCTGCCTTCCCTCCTTACCCTATGGTCAACATTCTGCCATGTGACACCATGTTTCAGCTGTATCATATGATGCTATGCCATCCTATAATATGCCAAGGTCCATGGACGTGCTACATGTACCCTGCGTATTCCCTTCTCTCTGCCTGGAACGTCCCTCCTCCTCTCTGACTGGGAAACTCCTAGTTATCTTTTAAGAACATCTTATTCTTAGTAGCAGCTATCCTGTTTTTTTTAACCACACCTTCACCAAAGCACTTACAACATTGCTTTGCAATGATGTTATCTTTTTTTTTTTTTTCTGCAGGGAAGGATTCGCCCTGAGCTAACATCTGTTGCCAATCTTCCTCTTTTTTTTTCTCTCCGCAAAGTCTTAGTGCATGGTTATATATCCTAGTTCTAAGTCCTTCTAGTCCTTCTATGTGAGCCACCACCACAGCATGGCAACTGATAGATGGGTGTTGTGGTTCTGTGACTGGGAAATGAACCCAGGCTGCTGAAGTGGTGAGAGTGCCAAACTTTAACCACTAGACCATCAGGGCTGGCTCACAATGATATTATCTTAAATGTCCCTCTTTGCTCTCAGTCTGGAAGCATCCTTCAGGAGAAGCCACAATTCATTTATCTTTGACCCTAGCACCTAAATATGCCCCAAGAAAGAGAGGAAGACAAGTCATGTGGCCACACTCCCAGGGTTTCAAGGAAATCACAGGGCTCTTAAAGGAGAGCAAACCACAAAGCTCTTCTTATCATCCATTTTGCCCTTTTTGTTGTGTTTCCTAGGGACTGGAGTCTTTGGAATTTTTTTTTCTGGCAGATGCCAGTGCCATTGGCCTGAGGACATGGTGTCAATAAAAAGAAGTGGAGGAGGGATGACTGTGTTAACTGTGCAAGAGGCCAGTGGTCATTTTTAGATTGAAGGGAATTCAGAAATCATGATCGTGTCCTAGAGCTGTTTTGCAAACTTTAAAAACATGACCCCCAAGAAGGAGACACAGTTTTGTTATGATCTAATACACATAAACACATACACAAACATGTGAAAAAAGCAAGTGAAAAAGAAGGTTCATGAAATAGTTACCTTTACTACATGGCAAGAATTCTGATATTTTCTACTCTAATTAGTTTATCCTATTCTAATCCTATTGCCAAAACTGCCTCCTTTTCACTCAGGTATTTGTTTGTATGTAGATGAAGATGAGCCATGTTCCCTACCAAGAAACAGCTATTTGTGGGAGGGAGCTATGCATGGTCCGTGGGATCTGATGAATACGATTGCTTGCATTTTAAAGAACTGAAAGAAAGTGTGCAATGCAGCTCAATTCCGACTCTTCCAAGAGCTAAATAAAGTTGCCTGATTAACAGAGCACAAACTCAGAGACTGGAATGGCCGATGACTTTGGGTTCCAGTGACTTTGGTCACTGGGATTTGGAAGCCTATGCTATGGCTCTACCATTTGAGAATGCTTCCAGCAGCCACACTGGGGGTCAGTCTAATCACTGTGGTGCTTCTGCTTTGGTAATTTCCATCTCTGTGGTTGTTCACTGTGCGTATCAAACTAACTGACAATTAGTGGCTGAGTGTGTAAACAAAGCCCGTGCAGAATTTAAATCCCTTACTAATGAGCAGTGATGTTTATCAAGAGAACACTGTTGTTTATTCCATTGGATTTCATATGCAAAAATATTGTTTGGCATTTTTGCAACCATGCAAGAGGGAAAGAGAGGAAATTAGAGATCAAGGCATATGCAAACAGGACAAAATGACAAGTAATATGACTTTCAAATATGTCTTAAGCCAAGTTTTAAATGAAATTACTTAATTATTTAGTTAATTTAATCTAATTGTTTATTAAAACATTTATCTGTTGTTCCCCCAATCAGGTGCAGAATATATATAGGTTCAATGTAAGAGGAAATTTCAGCTAGTCAGTCTCTATTTTCGATACTTCCTGTATTCATGTCCTAGGGCTGTTGTAAAAAAAATACCACAAACTGGGTGGCTTAAAACAATAGAAATTTATACTCTCATAGTTCTGGAGGCCTGAAGTCGGAAATCAAGGTGTTGGCAAGACCATGATCTCTCTGAAAGCCCTGGGGAGGATCTTTCCTTGCCTCTTCCTAACTTCTGGTGGTTTGCTGGCAATCCTTGGCTTTCCTCGGCTTGTAGATGCAGTACTCTGATCTCTGCCTCCGTCTTCACAAGGCATTTTTCCTACGTATCTCTGTCTTCACATGGTGTTCTCCTCTGTGTCCCTCTCAGTCCAGGTTGATTGTGTTTTTGCTGGTTTAAAATTCTCAAAAATTTGTCAGTCTTCTGATGAAATTCAAGAGGAGTCTGAACCATTAGACATGAGGGTTCTCCACAGATCCTTCCTGGATAACTCCATCTCTCTTCTTGGCTTCTGCTGAAATGTTTGACTGGATCCATAAATCACATGTCCAATCTCTTTAACACTCCGTTGTCCAGCCACACCCTTGGTATTCTCTCCAGAGCACACTTTCTCATCTTTTGCTGCTATCTGAATAGGCTGAGAATTTTCCAAATCATCAAGTGCTGGTCCCTTTTTCCTTAACAATTCTTTCCTCAATTTATCCTTTTCCTTTAGCTCTTTATTATAAGAAGCAAGGAGAAACCAGGCCACACTTTCTACATTTGGCTTAGAAACCTCCTTACCCAAATGTCCAAGTTCATCACTTACAAGTTATATTTTCCATAAAACTCTAGGACATAATTCAACCAAGTTCTTTACCACCTTATGACAAAGATCACCTTTCCTCCAGTGTCCGATAACATTTTCCTCATTTCCATCTGAGACCTCACCAAAAGCATATTCCTATCAGTATTCTGTTCATGGTGATAGATGTATTCTCTGAGATAATAGAAGCTTTCTCTACTGTGTTCCTGACTTCCATCTGAACCTTTACCAGAATCACCTTTAATATCCGTACTCCTACCAACCGTCGCTTCAAGGCAATCTAAGCTCTATCTATCAAGCTCCTGAAAATACCCCATTTCCACATTTTTGAGTATTTGTTACAGCAGCACCCCACTTCCAAGCACCAAAATCTGTTTCAGTCAGGGATCTCCAGAGAAACAGCTAATAGGATATATACAGATGTATTTATCCATATGTGTATATATATATATATATATATATAAATTTATATATATATAGATTTATTATTTATTTATTTTTTGAGGCAGATTAGCCCTGAGCTAACATCTGCTGCCAATCCTCCTCTTTTTGCTGAGGAAGACTGGCCCTGAGCTAACATCTGTGCCCGTCTTCCTCTACTTTATATGTGGGATGCCCACCACAGCATGGCTTGACAAGCAGTGCATAGGTCCGCATCCAGGATTTGAAGTGGCGAACCCTGGGCCGCTGAAGTGGAACATGCAAACTTAACTGCTGCACCACCAGGCCGGCCCCTATTATTTATTTATTTATTTATTTATTTTGTTTAGGAAGATTCACCCTGAGCTAACATCCATTGCCAGTCTTCCTCTTTTTTTTTTTTTTTTTTTTTTGCTTGAGGAAGATTAGCCTTGAGCTAATATCTGTGCCAGTCTTCCTCTGTTTTGTATGTGGGTCACCACCACAGCATGGCTTAATGAGTGATGTAGGTCTGCACCCAGGATCTGAACCCGCAAACCCAGGCCACTGAAGCAGAGTGTGCAGAACTGTAGCCACTTCGCTGTGGAGCTGGCCCCAAAATATTTATTTTGAGGAATTGGCTCACATGTTTGTGGGTGCTGGCAAGTCCAAAATTTGTAGGGCAGTCTGGCAGGATGGAAGCTCAGGCAGGAGTTGATGTTACAGTCTCAAGGCAGAATTTCTTTTTCTTTGAGAAACCTCAGTTTTTGCTTTTATGGCCTTCAGTTCATTAGATGAGACCAAACCACATTATCGAGGGAAATCTCCTTTACTTAGTCAACTGAATGTATATGTTAATCACACATACAATCTAAATTAGTGGTTGATTAAATAACTGGTTTCTCCAGTCTAGCCAAGTTGATGAATAAAACTAACCATCACTGCAAAGTCAGACTTGGTCATATTCTGTCATGAATTATCAATAAGTATCTGATCCTTTATAAGTTCAAAGTATTGCTTCCTTAAGCTTTTATTTATAAGTTTTAGGCTTCATACTTAGCCAGAAATCTCTTGTATTTGTTTTATTTTATATCCTTGTTTTGTAATACATATGATTTTGCAAATGCTGGGTTTAAATGCTCTTCTCTTGACTATCATGCCTCTATGTAAAACATATTGCTTATTTTTTTGCATTAAGAAAAGTATTTTGAATTTTAAAAATTTCTTTAATGAAATTGAGTTCTTTATCAAAGGAAGTTTTCACACCCACTTGCATGCTATGGTGCAATATTAGGGCTGGCAAAGCACAAATCACAGGGCTATGTGCTTGCTTGCTAAGAGCTTACAGTATTAAGAGACACAAGAGTGAATGCATATGATAAAGGGAAACCTTAGCTACCCATTAGAATCAACTGGAGAGCTTTTAAAACTTCCAGACCAATTAAATCAGAATGACTAGGGGTGGTAGCCAGTTGGCAGTATTTTTTAAAGCTCCCCAGATCTAAAATACCTCCACAAATTCTTTGGTACTCCTTTCTTCAAGAGGTAAAACTTAATTCCTCTCTCTTTGAGAGTGGGCTGGACTTAGTGACTTGCTTCTAACAAGTGCATATGGTGGCAATGACTGCGTGTGATTCCAAAACTAGGTCATAAAACACTTTGAGGCTTCCTCCTGGCTTTCTCTCTTGAATCACATGCTTTGGGGGAAGCCAGCTACCATGGCCATGAGGACATTCAAGCAGCCATAGAGACAGTTCCACATTATAAGGAACTGAGGCATTTGTTATGGTTAATTTTATGTGTCAACTTGACTAGGCCACAGGGTGCCCAGACATTTGGACAAACATTATTCTGGGTGTGTCTGTGAGGGTGTTTCTGGATGATATTAGTATTTGAATAGGTAGACTGAGTAAAGCAGATTGCGCTCCCTAATGTGGATGGGCCTCATCTAATCAATTGAAGACCTGAATAGAACAAAAAGACTGAGTAAAAAGGAACTCCTCTTGCCTAACTTCTTGAACTGGAATATCAGTCTTTTCCTGCCTTTGGACATGGACTGAAACATCTGCTCTTCTTTGTCCTCAAGCCTGCTTGCTTTTGGACTGGAACTGACACCATTAGCTCTCTTGGTTCTCAGGCTATTGAACTTGGACTTGAACTACAACATTGGCTCTCCTGGGTCTCCAGCTTGCTAACT